GCTGGCAGCCCCATCCCGCAGCTGAAACACTTTTCAGAGACGGTCCTGGTGCTTGCTGAAAATAAAATTTGCTAAAAAAGGGAAAAAGCTGCAATCACAGAAAGTAGAGCATTGGAAAATGGAACCGCAATGCAAAAGCTCACATCCGCGAACCAGAAATAGTGAAAGAATAGTTTTAGCAAATATTAATCAGAACAAATCTTCAAGGGTGGTTTATTTTGAATACATTTCACAGCCTGTGTTGTGCCTTTGTTCTAAAATCACATACTTTCTGACAGAACTTGCTGTAAGTCCTAACAACAACCTGGTGAACATCTATGAGAAGAAAGGCAAAGACTGGGTCAAGATCCATGAGCTGACGGAGCACAGTGGACGGATCACAGGTACCGTAGCTCCTAATATACAACCTGGGCCTTTAAGGAACATTATAGGGGAAGGACTTGAAATAATTTATATTTCCAAATAAATACCCCATTAAAGACTAAAGAGTTTTGGCTAACAGGAGGATCTGCCGTCCACAGGTATTGATTGGGCACCAGTGTCAAATCGTATTGTGACCTGTGCCTCTGACCGCAATGCCTACGTCTGGACTCTGAAGGATGGAGTGTGGAAGCCTACCCTAGTCCTGGTGCGCATCAACCGGGCAGCCACCTGCGTAAAATGGTCCCCTTTGGAGAACAAGTTTGCTCTGGGCAGCGGAGCTCGGCTGATCTCTGTCTGCTACTTTGAAAAGGAAAATGACTGGTGAGAAGGATCAGAATAGAATGATGACTCTAGAATAACTAACTCTAGTGGGTTTACCGTTTAGCAGGGTTACATGGTTCTGATAGGACAGTGGTTCCCAACCCTGTTCCTCAGCGATCCCTTCCCTCCATGTTTAAGATGCATCTCTGTTCCAGCTTGCCTGATTCAAACAGGGCTCCTCCTCTGCAATCAGTGCTGCAGAAGCCTGTTAATCAACCAATCTTTTATGGCATGATGCAACAAGGAGAGCCCTAAAACATGCCGGACACAGGTCCAAGAGGAACAGGGTTGACTAGATATACTGATTTGTGGGGCAAAGTCCCACATTTTTGACCTCTGAATGGGGTCTCACAAATCATAGCAATATCCAGAGTTTTACTGGATCAATTAGAAAAAAATCACATGGATTTTTCGTCTGTGTGTCCATGCCATGCTCGTCATGACCAGCACATGATGCTCTGAAGAAAAGGTAAGGATGGTAGGATAAAAATTGTCACTAAAGAAAATGACTACATAGAATGTGAAAGTGTCCAGAATGTGGAGCAGTGCTGAGTGTTAGGAGGTGAGGCTGAGAGGAGCATGCTGCAGGATGGGCAGGTCACAACCATATTCCTTAATTCTCCACTCCTATTGAGGAAGAACAAGTTGCTCCATCCAACCACCTTACCTCCTGACACCTTCTAGTGGAGTAGAAGAGTAAAGCAGAAGGAGGCAGGGTCTCCCAAACTCCAGCAGGAACACTGTATAATAGAATTAAATCCTTTCAGTTTATTTCTATAACTCCAATTTACATCATGTCATCTCAGGTCACTTTATAGATCCAATTAAACCAGATCATCCAGTCAG